ACTGTTTTTCTACCCCCTGCAAAGTAGTTTAGACAGTTTTTCTTTAACCATTATCTGCTAGATAACGTTTGTTTCTCGCAATGAGATCCTTCTGCATTGCAAAGCGAGCCTTGCTCTCCTGGGACTGGCCGACTTTCAGGGGACGCGGCGGCTGCTGCATGACTGCCAACACCGCTTTGATTTTTAAAGGCAAACAAAATGTATGTTGTTCTTACTCTGACTTACCACAAGCACTCACAAAGCAAGTTAGTGCAGGAGGATGCCCGCTGAAATCCCTTCGTCTCATTGCAGTTAATTAGGATGTTGAAATTTAGAGGGGCTTTTTTCCAAACCTCCTCTCCCCTGCGCGTCTAGACAGTATTTTTCCAGAATAAGGAAGTATCTGTATATTTGCATGCTGCCACAAGAGGAATACATTTTCAAATCCAGACAGGTGATAACTTAGCACATTAACTGCCTCCACTAGCTGGAAATTGTGCATCTTTACCAGCGTCTTTCTGAGATTATCTTGCAGGTTGTTGTCCCACATGATTGCCTTCCCAATCCTGGGATGGGGAAAACTGGCACGAAGAACCGAGTCCTTGTATGAAACTCCTGTACCTGTTCATCCCTCTCAAAGTGAAAGGAGATGCTGGATGGGACAATTTAGCTGACTTTAGTTTGTGGAGAGAGGAAGAGGATTACTCTCATCTGTGGTCTTTCTCTCTGCTTTGTAGCAGCACAATGAACATTTTCTTTTCTATAAAAAATAGAAAAGAAAAAAGATCAGTAATTTCACTGTGCTCAGCTTTGCATGTTTTATGATTTTTCTTTAATTATTTTATTCGAAAAAGAGGCAGAAATGTAATTATTTTTGTCTGAAATCATGCCCTTACTTTGAGTATTAATTCTGAGGGAAGGTAAGCAATGCAATTAAATGACCTACAATCACGTTTGATGTTTCTTGGATTAAGCAGGGTGGTTTAAGGTACAAACTTGTTGTGGGGAGAAAAGTGCACAAACTACCTAAATAACTGGTTATGTTGATGGTAGTTCTAAGTCTTCTGTGATGCTCCTTCCATTTGGTATTATGAGTGGGTCTGGATATGAGTTAATATCTAAGCATGCAAAAGGACAGCTCTCTGAGAATACATCCAGCCAAAACAGTTGCCCCTTGTCATTTTTTTAAATGCTTGGGCTTCTGTGGTCACAGAGACTGGATACCATCCTAGTAAGAAATATTCCTGTCCCGTAGCAGGCCCAGACACTCTGTCAGCCTGCACTGGCTCTTAGACAGATGCAAGATCCCTGAATGAGATGCCAGCCCCAGGGAAGCTGATGAGATGTCTGCCATTGTCCTCAGCAGCATGACGGTTTCACTGTCTGTGCACACCTTTTGCTGTGGGAAATCATTACCTACAGGAACTGATGCTCGTTAAACTACCGTGTTATATCACTTCATCACACTGCTGATTTTTTTTATGCAGACAAGCATTCTGCATTGTATAAAGGCTTTGCAGTGTGTGGCTATAGCTCTGGCTGCTTTGCATAGGTAGGTGCACCTGCTGCAATCCAAGAGCAAGTTCCTCTTTGGGGAAACCCTGAGTTGCCACTTACCACTTGTCAGGGTGCAAAGCCATAATTTTGGACAGCTGTCTCCACAACTTCTCTGGGTGTTACTGGAACAAAATGGTTGATAGCATGGAAAAGTAAAGGGAGTGCTACAATTCATACATACAACCTTTATTAGTCAGAATGGTTGATAGCAAAGGTAGATTTGAATATATAGTCTTTACATACAAATAAATGCAGCAAAACAGAACAAAATTTTGAGGAACTGTACATTTTGAGAAGATTAATGGGTGTGCAACTGAACTTTACACAGAAACAGACCATGTAAGAATAGCTATGTTCATGTTAGGAACTTTTCTGAAAAGCAAACAAATGAGTAAAATCACATTGAAGAGCTAAGTCCTGAAATCCTTATTCATCCTCCCTCCACGTGTCCTCAGGATAGCTGATCCTGACAGCACTGAGAGAGGCAAATGTCCTCGTACTCTGAAAACTAAGTTTCCACTTTGGAATTAAACCATGGGTTCAGACACTCAGATTTTCAAGCTGCAAGTCCTCAGAGCCTTGGTCATTGGTTTGTTCTGAAGTTTTTGTCCGAGACAATACTTTGTGACTCTTCTGTAGAGATCCCCATGTCAGGAAAAGGGTTTTGCAAACATGCAACAGCTTGTCCATCTTTGCATCACACTGCAAGATTGTCTCATAAACCTTTCCCAATAAAAATCTCTCATTTAGGAAGAGTGAATAAGAACCACATGATTTACAGTACACTTTGAGCCCATGGCAAACACTTCCTTGATTTCAGTAAACTTTGTCTCTGGCCCATAGAGTGGGGTCCTGAGGGACCTGGAAGGTTTTGCATGTGAAAAAATTCCCAGTTGCTTTTGCTAATCTGGGATTTACCTTGCCCTTCATGGCTTTAAGGTGTAGCTGCTGTTGCAATCAAGGGTGCAATTCTCAGTGACTCCCATGGGAGCAGGAGGAGGGATTACACACGGGAAGGGATTTCACATGTAATGTGTAGCTTGATACTAGACTTTTCTCCCAGTGCTTTTTCCAGTTCACTGCTGGAAATAGTCACTACGCAGCATTCACACGCTTTCACAGCAAATTTTTCTACTAGACAGTAAAACTTCAGAAATCCCTTAGCCCGCAGATGTGATGTAGTATGTGCTCTCCCTACTCCTTTGTTTGGTGATACCATCTTACACCAGAGTAAGCACTGTCAAAGGGGAATAGCAAAGAAAGCCAAAAGATGTGTGTGTGCACCTGTGTGCACTGGGGCAAGTGGGTGCTGGTATCCCCCAGCACATACTCAGTGGGCTGCACGCTGCCTGTCTAGGAACACTAGCACCCCAATGCCCAGGCCGTCTGATCTGGCCACCCAGCGGGAAAATTTGTGGCACTCAGCTACCACTGGGAACATGCCTTCTGGGGTCACATCTCTCTAGCAGCAGGATGGTGTCACCAACCCCCCTCCTCTGGGACCACTGGGATGGATGGGCACATACCCCCGGCACCGGTGGGCAGGCAGGATGGTGGTCTGGATTTACATATGTATGAGTGACCTCCAAAATTATTTGCAACATTCAACTGAGGAGAAAGAGGAGTCCATGTGTAGAAGGGGAGTGAGCACGTGAGCACAGCCCCAGCTGTGCCGGGACTTCAACTCTTCTCTGAAGCAGAAAAACAGGACTATTTCTGAGGGCAATGTGAGCATTAACTTGCCCTGGTGCCTGTGCCTGGAGAACAGATATATAACCTGAACCAGAATTTATGTCTTTTAAAATGTCCATGTGTTATGGGAACGTCAAAGAAAAGTTAAAAGTACTATTTCTTGACTTTGGAGTTACAGTTAGTGTGATGAAACACACTTTTCCCCATATATTTAGCTGCCACTGAATGACATTTGATGTGAAAGGTGAAAATAGAAGGAAGACAACTGCAGGATCCAATTTTAGGGAAAGGAATAACACTTTTGACTAGCTATATATTCACTGGTCTATATAATTTAGTGGTACATTACATCCCCCTTTGGATGGCAGCACTGTGATTAGAGGAGCAAACAGACAATGATTGATGTAACATGATCAATAAAGAGAAGTTCAGCTGTCTAAGGCTTAAACTACTATGGCAAACCAGTGAAGCACTAAGTTTAAGATTGCAGAGGTATTTCTTTAGCTCTTGCAAATTAGGGGTCTAATTTCTTCATGCTTACTTTAGCCACACCACACATATCTCCACTGATTTGTGCAGCAGTACACCTGGACATACATACCTCTTTATGTAAAATGATGCCATGTGCTCTTAAAGCCCCCGTGCCTGGGGCAGAGGGGAGGACCCAGGCTCACCCTGATGAGCCAGGCTGTGAGGAGGATGGTTGCTCCTCTGCCGCTTGCCTGCCCTGCCAAGTCCTTGCTGCTCCTGCAGCCCCAGTGCCAATGCCGGTGTGATGGCTCCTAGCCCAGTGCCAGCAGGGCAGCAGGGCCAGCAGCCACGAGCACGGTGGAATAAGCAAGCCAGCAGAAAGCTGTTGGCTGGTGACCAATTTCCAGCGCATTGCAGCTGCAGCCAGAGAAGCCAAGGCCACCCAGCACGGGTGGCAGGCCTGTCCAGGCAGCTCCCAGAGGAGCTTTGCCACGGGGCTGTCACCAGCTATTGGAAGAGGAGAGAGGTTCTGGGCAGCCCAGGGCCAGCCTTCCCCTCCACAGGGTGTTTGCCCACCGTCTCCTGGGTTCGCAACTTGCACAGGGGAGGACACAGAGCCTACGTGTTCTTCTGGTGCTGAATGAGGCTCCCGGATTTGGAGTAACCTGCGTTGTAACCACCAACAGAATAATCCCTGAGCACGTTGTCCTGGCTCAGGTTTATAATAGCCAAGGCTGTGCCCAGCAAGCCACTAGCTGCTTTCCAAAGAGCCTTTATTCTCTGAGAAGGACAATCCTGTCTGTCTTGCCACTGACATTCCCTCTGAGATCTGCTAAAGAGCATTTCCAGGGCTCCCTCACAGGAATGTTTCCCGTCCAGAAAAACTGCTGCATGTGGGGACCATTCTCAGGACACGGAGAGACAGAGCCCCTGTGTCCAGAAAGGGACTCGGGGCTGTGCCTGGGAGGTGAAAGCCCAGCTGAGGGCAGGGAGGAGAGCAACTATACCAAAGGGAGTATTATTAGAGGAAAGACCAAGCCGAGCTGGGCAGTTTGAAGCTGTGAGAGACCAGCGTGCTGGTCTGTAGAGCTCTGTACTGGCCATAGGTATCTCCCTGAAGAGTGTAGATATCAACCTGTCAGAAGTGGAAGAAAGGGAGATTCTGCCTTGATAGGAAATTACTCTCAGCTTACTCTTGATTAGCTTAAAGACAACAACAAATATAGGCTGCAGAGCTTGTAGCATGTTTTTTCTCACTGTGACACTCAGTGGGAAGCACCAACAGGTCATGTTTGCCTGCTCTAGGTGTCTGTGCGGTAGCTCCGGTGGCTGTCCCCTATTAGCTGTGTCTTCTCGGTTGCGTTGGTCGGCTGAAGCATGATAGGTGTTTCTCCATCTGAATTGCAGAGGAAGACAAAATATACTTTAAGAATCCTTTATTTGCTACCAATGCCAGACTTCTTGTTAGCATCACGTTTCATGTGCTGTTGTGGGTATGGCTTAACCTTGGCTTCACAGGCAGCTGTGTGTGTACTGAAGAGGTGGCAATGCCCACACCGAGTTTACAAATGCTCTTACTCCTTGTCCATGTGTAATGGCAGATTTCTGGGTGATTATTGCTGTTGTTATTAAAGTGGACATCAGCTGTACCTGCTGCTTGGCAGAAATTGCAAGATAAGGGTCCCTGCCTGTTCCAGTTGCAAGTGCTTGTTCCTGCAGATGTCTGAATATAATGAGTGCTGTTGTGACTCAGCAAGCTAACCTTGACTTTTCTCACATTTACGAGAATGGGCCAGAAATTAGTCTTGAAGAAGGCAAAGTTAACAGTAAAGAAAGAAGAGAGTTAAAAGGGAAAAAATATGTGAGCAGCAACATACTTGAGAGGGAAGAAATCATATATATCCTGAAAACCAGCTAGTTAAACAAAAATGTTACATTTCATTTTGAAGTCTTATGTAAATATATTTAAAATAGGATTTTGAGAATTACTGTTTTAATGAGTTTGGAACTGCCAAAACCTCATATTATCACTACATAAATCCTTACTGCTTTGTACTTTCTTATTCCATGCAGTTATGTGTTTGGTTTCCCAGTATGTCTGTAAAAAATGCATTTGTTGTAAAGTGGAGGAAGGTGAAATCCTTACAGAGTTCCCTGATGGCTGTTGTGTTCCCTCTGATAATGAGCAAGGTTTGTCTGCCCTTCTCCTGGGCCTCTTTCCAATCCACTGTTTTGCAGGGGGGGAGGAGGGGACTCCAGACTCAGATACTGGCTTTTAAACGTTCTGCCATCTCAGTGAAGTGTTTTCATACGAAAAATTTTGGACTATCTATGTCTTAACACTAGCACAGCCTTCATAGTAATTGAATACAAATGATGACTTTTTTTTTGCCGAATGACCGAATGTTCAGAAAAAATCTCATCTGACATTTCTTTCTGTTTACATGGCAGTTGATGGGATGAATCATGGGCAAAAGATGTAATGTACAGAAGTAACTTAACCCAGAGCAGGAATCTAATTGCATGCCATACGGCTTCCCCTCAGTGGGGGTAGAACAACTTTGACTCTGTCAAGGTGAAAGGGAAGAATAATTAAATGCCAAGCAGCATCTCTGTATGGGCAATTCTGTATTTAGACACAAGGTCAAAGACAGCCATGTTTCATAACTTCTAAAAGTATATGAGTAATTAATGCTTAGAGCTCAGCTCGGGCTCAGATTAGTTTGGCAGATCCAATCCATTTTTAAATTATTGCGTATCTTCTAGATTTCTGAGCAGCACTGCCTCCCACCCTCTGCTGCCTCCAAGTTGTTCATTTTATGGAAGATCGTTGATGGAGGGCAGAGACTAGCAGTTCATTTTGCTGTGATACCCAGATGTGCAACAAGAGAATAGGACCCACTGCAAATCTGTCGCATTGCTTTCAGCTGATCTGCAGACAGTTCTGAGCTGACGCCTTCACCAAGTATTGTGCTGCCTGCACCCTTCTAAAATTTATGATGTTTTTTATCAGAACAGGGGCTCATGGTATAATAAAGTGTACAAATATAGCCTGCTAATGCAGAGCTGCAGAATGGAGGTGCGGCAGAATTCACAGCTTAAACTGTTTTCTATAGATAGCTCTTGCTCACTGTTCGCCTACATTGGCATCATATGGAGTGTGGAGGAGACAATGAAGTGCTAAAAACTTACTGCTTCTGAGTTGGGAAAGTATTTCGTTATTCAGGTTCTTTTTTCTTTTTATTCAGGTTCTTTTTTCTTTTTATTTTTGTTTTGGTTTGGTTTGGTTTTTTGTTTTTTTCTCCCAGATCACATTTTCTGTAAAATGAAAGTTGGTCTAGAAATGCCTTGCTTTGTTCTTACAATGATAACCAAACAGGAGAGGAGAACAAACACACCAAACATCTTCAGGGCGTCACTACACCCTGAAGTACCGAGGCAATCCAGATTCCAACCCACCTCCTGTGGGACCACAAAAGTCAACAAAAGGTTTGCCGTTGAGCGCAGAAGCAAAATCTGGCAACCTGTATCATGTGTGTGAGTGAAAGCAATGAGCTGTTCACATGTCCATGCTGCAGAGGAGCAAGTGATAACTTCCCTCTGCCAGTGTATTTCACAGGTCACCCATAAAATCATGTGATACCACAGATTACCCTTCTTTACACTTTTTTAATGTAATCTTTGATCTGAAACGCTAAAAACTGTCATGTTTTAAATGTAGCAATCCAAATATAATTTTTTTTTTTTTTGGTCTTCCATTGTATGTTAGGCCACAGTCCTGTGGCATAAATCAATAGTCATGAGGAGAAATCACTGTAACCTAAGTACAGGCCAGGTCTTGCAAATCCCTAAGGTCCTTCAGTTCTGATGGCAATGCTACCCATGGAAGTAGATGTTGTAAATTGCATCTCTCACAGCAGACATACAACTAGCTGAGCACTGGAACTACTCAAATAAATTTAAACAAAACTTTCTTCTAGAGGAATATGCCATTTCATCAGAATTGAAGGCTTTGACAGGATTGTGTAGTTTCCAGTGACAACTCATTTTTCTTTTACATTTTAGGAAATGGATCACTGAATTTTTGGCCTCATACTTTTTTCACTAACAAATATGTTTTATGGTATGTTAACTTGAGGAATGTGAAATCAACTGTACGATACTTTGATTTTGTTACGGAGAAGTGTGGGGGACTCTGAAAATTATTACTGTTGTGCTAACTCAAAAGATGAAGTCTAAATCTCGACTCCCACAATATGCATATTGCCTCTTCTGCACAGTATGGCAGTCTCCAAGCAGCTCCTGCTGAGAGCAGCAACAACTGGTGGAGACTTGCTCTCAGAGGTTTTTAGCATCAGGAACGGTAATGTTTCATCGATGTTGCATTCCTTAGAAAAGCAATGACTGACTACAAAATATTTGGATAAAGTATGGCCTTCACTTGAGAATCTACATTTTGACCTTAGTAAAAAAGCTCTGGCTAGCAATAATATACATACTGGGGACAGCAGGAAGCAAAGAAATTAATTACCAGCTAGAAAGCTCAGTCTGTGGGCAGAGGGCATGTGAAGAATTTGGATCTTAATAGGATTTCCTCTTTCACAATGAAATCTGCTGCAGGAGTGATTACAGTTTGTTTCTGAATTACCTACAGGAGCATTTCTATTATTTACATAAAGTAAGACACGAGTATTCATTTCTATGGCCAAACATTTGAAAATGTCTGGTGGAAAAGCCCGATCTTTGTTATTCTTAGTACGCTGTATCTTTTTGGTCAGCATCCCTAAAATTGGGGGGAGGGGGGAAATACGGAGGGAAGAAGTGCCGTTTGAGATGGTTATCGTTCATTTGTCTAAATGCAGTGTTCAATATTTTCCTTTCAGCTGCAGAAAAGATGCTTCCATTATCCTCTGTCATGACATTTTTACTTTTATTCCTGATATGTTGCTCTCTTTTAATCTAATTTTAAAATATAGAGCTGTACTCTATGGAAGCAAGCTGGTTTTGACTGGTAGGAAAATCTAGCAAGACAGAAGAGAAGGGTAGGGAAGGTAGAATCATCTGGTTTTCTCCAGGCCCCACCTATATACTTAATATTGTCTTCAAAATACTTTAAACACATAATTCCATGTTCAATTAATTTTTCACACTGGTACTTTGCCAAACATTTAAAATTATTTTTTTTTAAATTGATATCTCACTGAGACTTGGTGGGAGCAAAGGGATGGGAAGATGGCTTAAAATTACTGAATACCAATAAATACCACTTGTGACAGAAGGAGGGAGAAATTTTTTTTCTACCACTGGTGAATTTTGTGCTGGATTTTGAGAGAGAGCAAAATACCTGCCAAATTACAAAAAAAGTCAGAATGAAAAAAATTCTAATCCTTCAAAGTTCCGTTTTCATATTTCAAACTTGGCTTTGGTGTCATAGACCCATAAATATGAAGACCCATTTTAGATTTGCACTTTCCAGGTGCCTAATGTCATAGAATATATTACATTTATTTCAAATAATGCATTGTGGTTATAAAGTTTTCGCTCATACTTTTTGCTGCCTTTGCAGAGACTGATAAGGTATGATCAATTTTTAAGCTGACTATTTACCTTGATATGCCTCTAGGCAAAACCCATTTAAAAACACCACCACACGCTGGCATATCAGTTATATAAATAGCATTTGTTTCAACTACTACAACTGTTTTGTTACATATTTATGGAAGGGTAAATTTGTGTGAAAAGTTGGGGGAAAAAAAAATCTTCCTGCTAAAGGAACATGACATTTGCAATCTGGCAGTGCTAATTTAAGCATAATAAATGTAAGAATATAACAGCGTAAGACCTTCCACAACAATGGAAAAGAAAAAGAGTGAGCTGACTGCTTAGGTCCTTCTTCATAAAAGTGTGTAATCCTAATCATAGTTTATATAAATTTGCAACTGAGACGTGGCCTATTACCCTGATACCTTGGCCTCTTATTGCTGGAGCAAGGATCATTGCCTCTCTCAGCTTGTCCTGCAAGTGTCCAGATCTAACCAGTCTGAGATGCTTCTGTTTCCCCTGAAGATGAAGGCACAACTCTGCCCCACTTCAGCAGATTAGGACAGGGCTTTTTGTTCAAAATACATAACCCACTCTAGTGTCAAATTAGGAAATCACCACCATCATCTTTTGGTCTAGCCAAAACCTGAGTGTGCAGCCAGGGGGTGTAGCAAAGCTGAGAAAAGAGGGTCACCTGCAGCAAAGGGGATCCCGCTGTCCCTGGCCCGTGTTCCTGGCTGGGGCACTCTTGCTCCTTTCTTTGAGCTGGCATTAGCACTTGGCATGCCCCACTGTGAGGCATGGCAGGGGGTTAAACAGGCACATTTTTGAGAGGATCAGTTTTCACTTGGATTGTATCCAAGATCTGCCTCCTTGTTGGGCAGCACAGTTGCTATTGCCAGCGCAGAAGACAGTGAGCAGCTTGGGGGCTGGATGGGAGAGGGGCAGGATGGCAGCAGCTCTCGTGCAAACTCTCTTAGGTTACTCTGCAACCTCACTGTTGGAAGCTCTGCATCTTTTCCTGAAGCCTTTTCTTAAATGGGTACAGTCGGCCCATCACAGTCGGCAATAAATTTTACATTAATAAAAATCAAACAGACGCTTATTCAGGCAGATCAGATAAGGCAAGCATCAGTACAGGCAGGGCATAATCTGTAAATTCAGGATCTAGGATATGAAGCAATGTGGGCATGGGGACTAGAGGGGGAACATCTTCTCTTAAGATAAGCCCTGAGACTTTTTTCATGTGCTTCATAAGTGATACAGAAGGTAATTAATTGATAGTGCCATAAGTTTAGTTTTTCAGTTACTTTTTTCATGTGCTTCATAAGTGATACAGGAGGTAATTAATTGTTAGTGCCATAAGTTTAGTTTTTCAGTTGACACGCAGCTTGGGAAGTTCATCAGGTTGTGGTGTTACCTGGAGTGAATTGTCCTGTCTCCTCTGGTGTCTGGAAGCAGCCTCAGCATTGTGAGCAGAACATCTGGCCTACAGGCTTTAAAGATTGTTTTGAACAGTTTTGCCACACAGTGAGCCCCTCTAATACACACCTCTTTCCATGTCGTTTTTGATTTGCTCTTCCAAATCTTCTGGAGACACACAAAACTCATGCTCTTCCCCTTCGGGTGCTTTGGGTTTACACTTTCCACAGCAGCAGTTGAAGCAGCAGCAGAGGCAGCAGCAGAGGTAGCAGCCCGTCAGCAGGCCGCAGACTGCAAACAGGCCCTGGGTTAAACACAGCAGGAGGAAAACCCCATGAGCAATGACCTTCCTGAAACTTGTGGCAGCCTCTTACAGCTGAAGGCAGATCACCAGAGGAACTCGGGTTCCCAAGTGCTTGGCACTCAGAGGAGTCCAGCCACTGGCCTTGTGCCTAAACAAGGACCAGATCTTCCAAAGTCCTCCTCACTTGCCACTCAGGACCACGGCCACAAAGAAGACACCAACCACCAGGCCCCCGCATGCTCAACATTTGAAAGTCTGTCTTCAGCTGATGGCCCTTGGAACAAACTTCCAGGCAGTATGCAAAACCCCACCTACCTTAAAATGACTCATTTCCATCTTAAAAATGACTCATTTGCCCAAGATTTTTTCTGCAAACACTTATTTACTGGTAGGTTCTTGTCAATAACAAAGCTGAGAGAAAAATAAGCAGAGACTCAGATGCATCCCACATTAATTTGGGCACAGAACTAAGGCATCCAAATTAGGACTGTAGCACCCGTGGGCTCCCCACATAGTCAATGGGAAGTTAAAAGCCCTTCCGGAGAGTGACTCAGGCCCAGGAGGATTTGAATTACCTGTTGGGGCTCTCTCTCTCTCCCCCCTGAAACCTGTGTAGGATCACACAGGTGACAACTCCTGAGTTAGACTACTGAAGCTGTGGTTTCTTGATTTGGGGACTCAGGTGGCAAGATGTTCCCACCTGCACGACCCTCTGCTCACTCCTGTCCTGTGGCACAAAGTGCCGCGGCTTTGACAGAGCCAGCACAACTGCCTGTGGCAAGACCAGAGATCTCAGCCAAATTCAGCAGCCATAAAACTTCAATTTACAGAGCTTTTCTTCCTCCAGACGAGCTCACTGCCTGCATTCACAGCACAGCTCCACAGCTACTTGTGTTGGGGGCTGCGTGCCGTGTTGCGGCAGTGGGGTAGGAGCTGCGGGAGGGGAGCCCTTGGGCTAGTATTGGCGCCCCATGCTCCAGGGTGCAAGATGGCAGCCTGACTCCTGACCCGGGGCAGATCCAGGCCTGCACCGCAATGCTTCTGGTAAAGGAGAAACCTCCATGTCTCTTCATGGACATAGTGGTGTAAGAGCAAAGGAAAGCCAGTGGCATTGCTGAAAAGAGAATCAAAACTGATATGTGGAAAGCGTTTGTAGAGCCAGCACAACTTTGTGGCCACCAGGTATATATGAGTGGGAGGTATAGCCAGGCTTTAGCATTATGGTTATACAGTCTGCCCTTTACTAACTATTTGTTATATTCATAAGACATGCCATTGAAGAAGAAAGTAAGCACAAACATCAGAATATTGTCAAACTTTGACAATGAAGCTATGTAAATAACACTCAGTTATGTATGCACGTCTCAGGCAGTGTTAACAAGGGCTGACTGGAGCATCTTTGGAGATAATATTTAGATACCTAATATTAATATAGGCACATATCAAGAGTGAGTGAGGTGCTTTTAAATGAAAAGGAGTCTGACTTTTTGTTTTAAAATGTTTTCCTTCCAATGGACACCTGAAACTGTTATAAATCCTGCAACCCCTAAGTTATCTGGCTGTTTATCATTTATGTCATAGAGGAGAATAAATCACCTCACTGGACAGAATGAAAAAAAAACCCAGAATAAAAGCTTATAGATTAAAAAATATACTTGAATTCCTTCATCATACCTGAAATGTTTCAAGATTTCTTGTGCTTATGTTAATGTAGTTGGTAAATCAGGAATCAGTTTATTGACGTGATCAATAAACTCTCTTCATGGTAGAGGGAGAATTATCGTTTTTTGCTAAAACAGTTAAACAAACAAGCTCTATGTCTGGCAGTGGAGAAGCAGTTAAAGTTCCCACACCCATGTTATTATGTTCCCAGTTTAATATGCCTGGTGAAAAGTCTGGCACTCCAAAAAAATTGTAATTTTCACCTTGCATTTCCCCTTTCATTTGAGTTTTCATACTTCCAATAATACACCTCCTCACAATTGTCAGATTTTCTGAGTATGAGTGTGATACGGAAGAGGATTTACCAGGAATGTTCATAGTTCAAGAGGAAGATAACAAGTGAAAGCTGTGGTCCCTACTGTCTTCCACCAGAAGAGAGGAAATTAGGGGTCCAGGGGTCATCTGCAGGTGATGCCTTGGACTCAAATAGTATGGTGGTTAATATAAAAATCTGAAACTAACCCACCATTTGTGCATGAGTTAAAAAGAGATGAGGAAGAGTGAGCTCAGCTTGCAAAAAAACCCACTTTGGTAGTCTGTTTATGCTTTGGAGGTGGCAAGATTTGGGGTTGGGAGAGGGATAGATAGACCACCTGTGACAATCCTCAAATTAGTTCATATGCGTATTTTGGTTTTTTTTTTCATAGAATTCTTGAAAAACAGGAAGCAGTGATTACTTTTGCTAGGATATTCAGTATATCTTGTCTCACCTCTGGGATACAGTTCCCTTGAAATAATCTGCACATTCCTCCTTTAGCTGTTAGGGATTTACAGCTTCCCTCTGTACTACTGTCCACTGTTCACTTTTTGAGTCAAAGCCACAGCACTTATTTCTGTTCCTGATTTTCTAACCACAGAAGATTTTACACTTCATAAAATCTCCATTAAAGACTGTTAAGCAGAAGATGAAATAAAAGCTAAAAAAGTGGCAAACAGTGTGGAAAACTTTGTTTAGCAAGGCTATTAAGGGAGTCAATACTGCTCTCTCAGCTCTAAGGCAATGCTTCTGGCATCTGAACCGTGACAAAGAGGCTGAAGGAGAGGGTGGACAACAAAGAAAAGAGGGAATGATCCAGCAGGAGAAGACAGTGGCTGTGGTGGGGAGTCCAGCCTGCAGCAGGAGTCAGCTACAGCAGCTGCTGGCAGGCAGCCTCCAGCCTGCTTCTGAGGGTGCAACTGCACCTTTGCGCATCCATTAGTTTCATTCACTGTTCTGCATTTGAACAGCTTCCATCTCATCCTGATTCAGCAGACAAATTATGGCTTCTCAGACTCACAAGTTGTCCAAGTGACCAGTTTGAAAAGGTATTGCAGGACAGTGAAGCACTGGCCTGATCCGTCTGAATGTAGGAATCCATGTTCCATGGTTCTTAGATCAAAGCTGTCAGTGTGATTGCCTCACACACTACAGATCATTTTCGTACGTATTATACCAGAGTCCTTGCTTTGTTGTGCTCCTATTGCTGGAAATAGATGGGGACAGCATGGATTTTGCACATTTGCAATTCTGTTGGTTTTTTACATTTCTGTAACATTTCAATATTTGCTAAAACACTTGAATCTGACACACGCAAACAGTGACTTAAGAGAACACATGAACACAACTCCTTTATGACTAGAACAGCCGACTATGTGTTTCTCCCTAAGCAATATGCCGGTTTTTGATTTATCATTCTCTTCCTTTCCTACTGTCTTCCTCCACTCCACCCTTATCACCTTTTCTTCCTCTTCCTTTCACTCACCCCCTCACTGGGTGCATATATGACACCATAATCACAGAGTGTTATGTATTAGTATTGCTTGCTTACGCTGTGTGCTATATAAAGCAAAGAACACAGCTAAATTTGTACTGTAACAACTTATTAACTGGTTGTTACATAAGTGGGACTTCTTGTTTTTGAACAATGAGTCATTTTTATATAGTCATTACTGAAAAGAAAGTAAAAATTAACCTGGAGCACTAGATTAAAATCTAATTAATGTCTGAAAGTGTTACAAAACATACACTCTATTTAACTATTTACCAAGTTAAAAGGAAAAAGAAAACATTCTCTATTAGCACTATTCTGAGCTGATGTTAGAATCATAGAATCATAGAATCTTAGAATCATAGAATGGTTTGGGTTGGAAGGGACCTTAAAGACCGTTGAGTTCCAACTCCCCTGCCACGGCCAGAGACACCTTCCACTAGCCCAGATGGCTCAAAACCCCATCCAGCCTGGCCTTGAACACCTCTAGGGATGGGGCATCCACAGGTTCTCTGGGCAACCTGTTCCGGTGCCTCACCACCCTCACAGTCAGAAATTTCTTCCTAAAATCTCTAATCTAAATCTACCCTCTTTCAGCTTAACACTGTTACCTCTTGTCCTCTCCCTGCACCCCCTGATCAAGAGTCCTCCTCATCTCTCCTGTAGCCCCCTTTAAGTACTGGAAGGCTGCTATAAGGTCTCCCTGGAGCCTTCTCTTCTCCAGGCTGAACAACTCCACCTCTCTCAGCCTGTCCTCGTACGGGAGGTGCTCCAACCCTCTGACCATCTTCGTGAC